AGCAATTTCGGCACAAACCTCGCTGACACACGTCTCATGCCCAAAACGTTAGAAAAAATTTCATGGCACGAGTCAAGCGATATACCAACATCCTCAGCAACATCCCTGATAGTGATTCGACGATTTTCCAGAACAATTTTCTTCACTGCTTGAACGTTTTCATCAGTTGTTGACGTGTTTGGGCGTCCAGAGCGAGGCTCGTCATTGGCATTTTCCCGGCCATCTTGGAAGAGTTTGTACCACTTGTAAACATTTTTTTTACTCAGAACAGTTTCACCATATGCCACCGTCAATATTTCAAGTGTTTCGGAGCACTTTATTTTATTTTTTACACAAAATTTGATGCAAATCCTTTGATCCATATTTTTGATAGCAAGAAAAATCGCCGAGCACGCAAAACGCTTATAACCTTTACGCCTCTCACAACCAAACAAAAAATGCTATACACTTGAAACTTGGTACAGATGTTCGGGAAGAGTGTACCAACATAACAAAATAAAAAAATCGATAATTGAAAGTACGTTGCCCGTGAAATTTGAAAAGTCACCTTACTTTTTGAACACACCTCGTAAGTTATAGCGCCGAAAAGCTTGAATACAACTTACTGTCAGATTAGAGCCCGAGTGTCACTGCACTAACGTTAAAACAAGTTGTTAACAACTTTTCTTCTCTTCTTCTTTTTATATAATTATTCAATTACTATTTTCACTAATAAATACTTTAAGGGTCTTAAAGAGCGACAACTCACTCTTTCTTTCTTGGTTTAGAATTTAAGATAATCTGCCATATTTGCTCTCAGTAGGAGCATCGTCCTTCGTGCTTTAATCTAATTGAGAGGCGGGAGTATTTCATTTTGGTAGCTTTAATTAAGACTTCTTTGTATAGTAATGAAGCTTGTGATGTTCGTATCACTTATAAATAAAATAATTCGAACTCTCGTAAACTAGCTAATGAGTAAGAATTTGTTTCCGATGATTTTACTCTAATTGTCAAGAAAATAGATTAATGAATCAAATATAATAAGTAAATCAAATATACATAAGTAATTGCAATATATCGAGAAAAGTCAGACAGTGCCCTAGTTTCTTATGGTGCGAATTGTCCCATAAGCAGAGCTAAAGTCTTTCTTTGATAGGATATAATTCGGCCCAAGTTTCTTATAGCGCGAGATGTTCTATAAGTCGAGCTCAAATTATAAGGAAAGGATAGTCTTGCTTAGTTAATCACAATGAGAGAAAGAACTTAGGTATTAATCCAAGTTTATTCAGACTCATGCGCTCACCTTGCAAGGCTAGAAGTGAATGAATCTAGCCTGTGCAAAGGTGGGCCTATTTATACATAGATTTTCCCGCTTATTATTGCAGGAGAGATTTCATCGAAAATTCGAGACATTCGCGAATTTTGAGAAATGATTTTTCTTAATTTACAAGTAAATAACCATTAATATTAAGTTTTTAACACATGTAAATTTTACAGAATTGGTTATTTGTTGATTTTATACAATATACAATTATCGCCAATAGTGTCGTCAAAAGTTATTAACTAATAAAGTTAATTAACGTGATATTACATTATTTACATTAGAAAATTATTAAAATTTCATATAACTTTATAGTTGATTAATTTTGGAAGTATTTTCCAAAATTAATTATTTAAATTAATTAATAACATTTGAATTATGACTAATTTTTCATATTTGTAACGGTTTTTTCTAATCTTAATATGCGATTATTAGATTAATTATCTAAGATTTCTAAATCATAAAGTTATCATTATCAAGTATTAACTTAATATTTTCGTTCTATATATTGCTTATTGTTTAAATAAATTATTAATTGTTTATTTATTAATAACAGTTGTCATTCAGCTGTTATTAATGAAACCAATTCTTACTCATGTTCTACGCTTATTCATTTTACATATAAATTATTTATATTTTTCTAATATTTCATATGTTAATAAATAAATTAACTTTACATATTGATATTCATTATTTATTTATAATTGAATGAGATATTGTGAATCTGCATGTTTAAATCTATATAATCGATACTTTGTTATATTCAAATTATCTATAATTAACATATTTTTCTCAATATTATGGATCATTATATCTATGTCTATTATTTTGTGACGTCACGCTGTTTGTTTTGACTCGACTCTTATTTGTATACAGTCGCGTAAACAGTGAGGTAGCGCCGCTTAATGTATTGTTTTGACTAAACAGATAAATACGTTAGACTAGTTGCAGTCATTTAATAAACAGCTCATAAATAGGACCGTTACAAGCTGCGGAATGCATGTAGTGCACTGATGAGCATGCGCAGACAGTAGGTGTCATTCGACAATTTTTGGCAGCGCCATTATGGCAAAGCGCAACAAAAACAAATGGGAATACATTTTTTCAAAAATAGTAATTATTATTTTGTATCATTATTTAGGAGTAGAAAAGAACATTTTATTTTTCGGACAGTTTAAAATTTTTTTTTTAGTACACGAGTTCTAAGTCAAAAAAAATTTTTTTTTCAAAAAGCATCTGAAAAAATTCCACAACAGTTTATGTAAAAAAATTAATATTGTCTCTCCTATACATTTTTTTTCTATTATTTAAATTTACGTAGATATGAAAAATTGGAAAAAAAGTATTAATTTCTAGGAAAAGTGCTCGAATATTGATTGGTTTTGGACGACATCTTGAAATCCCCATACTAAATTTCACTAAATCGCACACGACATTAGAAAGGAGACATCCTAAGCTTTAAAATGACCCATCAAATATTTTAATCGGTTGCATTAATTTTTAGTCGTAGGCGTGATCTGGTTAACGTAGAACTTCCTCTCTCTCTCTCTCTCTCTCTCTCTCTCTCTCTCTCTCTCTATATATATATATATATATATATATATATATATATATATATAAGGTATCTGAAAAGTTTCGGGACAGCATCATAACTTGGTTAGATTGTATTTTCGTAATGTTTCTTACAAAAGTTATAGGATTTTTCCCTGGCTATTCAATGGTGACCTTTAATTTGACTTTGGGCTTAACCTTCATATCTTGGAAAGTCAAGTTCAGTTTATATGGCCTTAACCTTCACTGTCATTTAAAAAACAAATGAAGTTTTTTAAATGGGATCCTGTCTTTTTGGCCTCGGAGAGAAAAAAAGAAAGTTATTCGATGTTGGGATAATTCTTCACTGTTTTCCAATTCAACCGTGCATCGTAGTCAAAGTTGAATCCCGCTAAGATAGAATATTAATTCTAATTGGTTCGGTTAGGGTTTAATTTTTCCCAGGTTTCAGTTTGATAATTAAAATTCAGCAATCACCACAATATGTGTAACGACTACTGGTAAGTTCTGAACGAGCAAACAAATTTTCTGAGACCACAGCGGCACTACTGTAACTGGCTATAACTTGCTAATATAACTATTTTATTCAAATGTTCTGCCTCAGCGATATTTAATCTAGACTGTGACTTTGCTAGATAAAATTGGAAAATAGTGTAGAATTATCTCATCTTCGAATAACTTTCTCTTTTTCTCTGCGGTCAAAAAGATGGAATCTCATTCAAAAAACTCAATTTTACCTTTAAATGACCTTGAAGGCCAAGCCCAATATTAAATTCAAAATCACCATTAAATAGTCAGGGAAAAATTTTATTACTTTCGTATAAAACATTTTTTTCTGAAAATGTATTTCCGCTGAATTGTCAAGCTATTTCGGAACTTTTCAAACACCCTGCCAGAATTGGATCTGATACACACATATATGTATGTATATAGCTGGTTCCTATTGAAAAATTTATTTTCAGTGTAAAATACATCGATTTGGACATACAGATAAGTGAAAGGTTGCCATCTTCGAAATATACTTTCATGCATAACCATCTTTCCATCAAATTAGCTAAGGCTTCAAAAAAATATACACATATTTGCACTCAAAATTTTATGCCCTAATAGTAACGTTCCTCTACTTGTGAAGTCAATAAGAAAGGCTACTAAACTATAAAATTTACGCTCCTTTAATGGTGTGGTAGAGATTCAGCCAGTGAAATGAATAGGTTGAACCCAACCCATGGCCATCCGCACAAATTAATTATTTAAGGGGGAAATTCAGGAGGTACAAATGCTCTCACAGCTAAATAATATACTAGATCGCTGGCGAATTTGACTTTAGAATGACCATCAGTGACAAGCTAAATGCAGTGACACTCGCTTAAGCTATGGTCACTTTATTTACAAACAAACATATCTGTATATATGAGTAGATTCAGTAACGTTATTTGCTGGGTAATCTCCCCCTTTAACTCGACGAAGTGTAATCGTTTGAACCGATTCAGGGATTAGTAAAACTGTTCGGCTCTTCATTTACGAATGCATCCAAACATACAAGAAAGAACGAACGAGAGAGAGAGAGAGAGAGAGAGAGAGATAATACGGCAATGATCTACTGTGTCTCAACGATCATTCCTCACTGTTGTCTGTGCTGATGCTTCTCGCTGATACTGCTGTTGTTGCCGTTGGTGCTTTTACCGCTTAGCTACCGTGAAGTAACTTAAATAACAACCTAGCTACTACTGCAATAAAAGTTAACAAACATTCTGTGCACACCGGGCTTATATATTTGTAATAAAACTCGGCAAAGCCATTTTAGAAAATCATAAAATGGTCGATGCGCGCGTTCTGATAATCCAGCTGATACTCTTGTCCATTTAAATACCTCTCTCTATCCACCTTTCTTGCTTTTGCGTTATTTGCATTCACCGCATCTCTCCCTTCTTAGTCTTTGGCCGTTTCTGGCTCCGCCAATCATCTCGTCCGCCATACCTTAGACAGAAACAGGAGTTATAGTGTATACACAAACACACTTAATAAAAGTGGCGAACGGGTGATTAAAAGCCAAAGAAAAACATTCTATCATAGAAATTTCTTTTTTCATAATTTACATTATTTTTCACTAGAACAACAGAAGAATTTAAATATTATCTTTTATTAACAGATTTCATTAAGATTCTTTCCTCGAGGAAACCTTCGCTTATTGTTAACTTCTCCGATGGGTACAACATCAACACTTCTATTCGAGAGACCGCGAGATGTCCTCAATTCTAATTTCGATGACTGGCCTTTTCTCAGTGTACACTTCTGGGGGGAAAAGGCTGAAGGACGCTGGACACTTCAGGTGATCAATGCTGGAAGTCGACATGTCAATTCACCAGGTAATTCTTAATTACGTAATATTCTGGTATCACAATAAAAAATAAGAAAAGGTATTACCTTCTGGTAGCTATTGCGTCATTTTTTATTTTGCGTAATTTGGAGATGATCATAAAAGTATGAAACAAATTAAACATCGTCGTGAATATCAATTGATTTAAGAACAGTATATGCAATCTACATATATTTGACTTAAAAATTCTGACATTTGTAAACATTCATCATGAAAGAGCTAAATAGATATATATACAGGGTGTCCCATTTTAAAGGAACTACCCCGAAATTTTCGACGGTTGGCGTTGTACAAAAAAATTGTTCAGATAATAGTTGTTTGTGACAATTGGGGCAACCTTTCTGTGAAATCTGATTTGACCTTGAGATACATTTTCAAGGTTATTTGAAGGTCAAAGTAATTTTTTGAATAGGAACCTATATTTTTGATCCCGGATTCGGAAAGAGCGGAAAATTCTTCGTTTAGATAACGTATTATGTGTGAGGTGCGGTCAACCCCCCCCCTCCGTATAAGGTCATGTAGCGGTCAAATTTATGATTTTCTTCATCTATGCACAGGGATGATCGGGCAAGAGTAAGGTTAATTGTAATAACCCAATAACTCGATAACCCAAATAACCCAATAATCCAATAACCCGATAACCCCAATAATTCAATAACCCCAATATCCCAAAAAATTGTAGGGTCAAACAACAGTGACCTTGAGCTTAAACTTCAGGTTGATTTTCAAAGTCGACTTCATGTATTCAAAGCCTAATATTAAGCCTGTATTAACCTCACCCTTGCCCCGGTGGGATGGAGGGGTGAACCGCTCCACCCAACATAATACTTTATCTACACGTAGAATTTCCCGCTCTTTTCGTATCCGGGATAAAAAATGGGGGTCCTTATTCAAAATATCTCTTGGTTATTGAAGTTATTGGGGTTATCGAATTATTGGGTATTGGAGTTATTGGGTTATTACAATTAACCTTACCCTTGCCCAATCATCCCTGTGCATAGATGAAGAAAATCATAAATTTGACTGCTAAATGACCTTAGGCGGAGGGGGGGGGGGTTAACCGCACCCCACACATAATACGTTATCTAAACGAAGAATTTTCCGTTCTTTCCGAATCCGGGATCAAAAATATAGGTTCCTATTCAAAAAATGACTTTGACCTTCAAATGACCTTGAAAATGTATGTCAAAGTCAAATCAGATTTCACAGAAAGGTTGCCTCAATTGTCCCAAACAACTGTTGTCTGAACAATTTTTTGTACAATGCCAACCGTCGAAAATTTCGGGGTGGTTCCTTTAAAATGGGACACCCTGTATAATATGAATTATATATATATATATTGTAACGTTTGAATCTATCTCGCGTTATGAAAATAATAGTTCGGACTCTTTACATTGAATTCGCAATTACGTCTCCGAGAAAAGCAAGAAGTTGACACGCGCGCAATCTAAATAATGAAAGAAAATCTTTCGAGTAGCAAACCACGAGGCTTACCAACTCGATGAGCTGCTTCGAAATGCAATTGAGAGCAATCGCATCTATCGGGGAGAGGCCCGACAGCGTCGCGATCACTGCTCAATTTAATTTCTCAACAGTAAATATATTTCAGGAGGGAAGATATCTAAGGCTGCTTTTTTCTCATGAGAGAGATAATCTCATGAGTTGAGCGCTTAGAGATCTGTAGGAAAGGAGTTTAACAGGCTAACCACTGAAAAAGAAATTCGTCTCAGGAAATAGCTGAGGCTTTATTTCTACAACAGTGCTCGCGCTGCTAAGCAAGGTAGGAAAATAAGTCCTCTTGCCGCAGTGACGAGCGAATTTATACATGCGAAATGGGCTCCTTTCTACGCCTGGTAGCCCCTACAACGCTATTTTTGTCATTGACGCAAATTTTGTACATGTTTTATCGCAAAATGGCTCGATCGAAATTGCAATTATGCGATTTAAAAAATTAAACTTGAAATGATGAATTTTTTAACATAAATTACATCTCGAGGAAAAATCGCCTCTCAAAGTTATAAGTTATACAATTTAATAATCAAATTACGCCACTCTTACAATAAAATTATAGAAAATTTTTACATGAAAAAATCGCTTGTGGTTAGAAAAATGTTATTCAAATAAAAGATGATTAATGTTGCTCTCTAATTTTGAATAATAATTAAAAAACAGATTTGCAAATTTCTTTTTTAGCAGTTTAAAAATCAGCAAATTAGTGACAATCATAATCATCAATTTTACAGATACGTATGATCGATTTGCTATCTAACAGTGTTATTTTAATTGTTTAAAAAAATTATAAAATGTTTATTTATTGATAACTTAGTGAATAATTAGTTATCAAAGTGTCAAATTCTTGCTTTTCTGTTTCAATACGTCGAGATTGTAATCGTATGCTCGAAATAACAATATTGTTGTTTATTGCAAAATAACTAACAATGTTAACTTGTAGATTAGATTTGACTAACAAATATCGATTTGAGAGTTATAACAACATGAAATTCAGGATCAGCGCATCAAATTTAACTAAGAAATACTTTTGTTCGTTTAAAAAACTTTATAATTGACGATTTTCTGTTGTAAACAATAAATTTTCCCACGGTCGTGACGTCACGCTCCTTATAAGGTAATGTTTTCGCAGAGTTGCCTTAACACATTTGCATATACGTGTGAAAAGCGCCTACGCTCAATTACCGCTTTTCTTTAATAGTCTCGTGTGTGACGGGTTGCCGTTTTGCAGAGGAAAATAAGAGACAAATCAGACTGGACCGTTACAATATATATATGGGCCATTCTAATACTTTTCGCGAAAACCGTGAGCACGGGGTTCATAAATTTTGACGCCAATTTTTTTTTATATTCTCTATATGAAAATATGGAGCCCTGAATTTTTTCAGATTTTTAGAACTAAATCTGGGGCCCCTAGAATTTTTCAAAGTCCAAAAATCGAGCAAAAAACTAATGAAAAATAGGAATTTTAAAAGGGGCATGTAATCGTCAATTTTAGAGCTACGGCGACGAGCGGTGGCTCATTTTTTTTGTCTTTCTAAGAGCTTTTCAATGAGCTAATAACAAATGTAGACCTCCCTATTAACAAAAAACCTAGGGGCCCGTGACTGCAGAGTAGTTTTCACGATTTTGGTCTATTTTCAAACATCTGTAGAATAGTCAATTATCACTTTTTTGTATTTTTCGAATACGGCATTGAAAAGTTCTTAAAATGACAAAGAAAATGAGATCCTGCGCATTTCTGCAGATCAAAAATTGACGGAACTACAGCAAGTTAAAATTGGTAAAAAATCGAAAAATGGCCATTTCAGCAAAATTCAACCCCCTGTAACTTTTTTCTCTGAACTTCGGTTTGGCTGAAAATTTAACTGAATATTCCTCAAATCACCCTGAATAAAAGTACATAATTTTTATTTTGTGTATCGGTCGATTTTCACTTCATTTTTTCCATCGTTTCCAATCATTTTACAACCTCGTCAAATTACGTACTATTGGCTTGGGCAACACTTTTGGACACATTTCATCCCATTTTATGTTACAAAAAGTAATTAAAAAAAAGTATGGGCTATGAACTTCCGTTAACATGATTCCAAATTGTTCACCCATGATTTGTCGACAAGTGCAATTTGTTTAGTTTTCGACACCTTTTTGTTAGGACCAGTTAACTTACCTTCATACTTGTTACTACATATGCTATGCAGTTTAGAACTAAAAATCTCTTTGTACATTATATATTTTTTCATCATTCCGTTTTTGATTATTTTTTGAACGATCAGTTTGTTTTTTTATGATGCGCAATTCTCTGTTCTAATGAGACTAAATGTAAATTATTTTTAGTCACTATACACATACTGTCGAGGGCTGAAGCATCATAAAAACTTTTCTACATTGTGATATTTTAGTAGCGATTAACTTTTCTTGTAACATCTGATCATAATTAATACATTTCCGTAACAGAAGAATAATTGGAAGAAATTTTCTTTGTATGGGAAACAATTATTTTATTATAACATAATAGAAAAATAATTTTTATCAGATCACTTATAATAATTTAAGTAAGTAGAATTGGATTATTATTTGCTAAAGTCTTATGTAATGTGCTTACTTAAATTATCGTAAAATTATGTTACAGATACAACTTTTACATTTGGATCAGTTGAAAACTGTCTTACTATCATCTGATTTTTATTTAGAGGTTCAAAGCGATGGCTGTCTCTTGTATTGCGTATAGTTTTAGCAGATTTAAATCTTTTTTTGAGCTTTTTTTCGCGCACTTCAACATCCTTTGCGTCAACAAAGCAGAATCTGTAATAATTCCATTAAATATAACGCAAGCGTGAAGACAAGTGTATAGATTCAACGGGAGTATTCATGTTTAATACTTATATAATACCTTATGGAGGATTGTTTTTCACTCAAGTAGTTAAACATTTCTTTTGCATCTAAAATTTTAACTTTTTGCAAAGATGCTTTTCTTGCAGCTACTTTTGCTGTTGCTCCAATACCATCACAGGCACTCTTCCCATGTGAAGTAGCAAAAAAATTATGCGATACTATTTCTATTCCAAAATCTTCTTCGTGGTGGCACGCGTTGATAAAATTATTCCTGAAAATTCAACGGGCAATTAAGAATAATGAGGATCAAATAAATTTGAAATATTGCCTGTTTTCTCACTTGTTCTTAAATTGAGTCGGGGCTCCATCAGAAAAATATATCAATTTCTTTATCCAAGGATATTCTACTTTTATTTTTTCAATAATGGCTTCTTGAAATATGTGTACAGAATAAGCTTGATGCTTCGTAGAGTCGGAAATAACACAAAAACTAGCAATATCTGTCACATTTGTAATTTGATTTCTGTCGTAAATTGAAGCAGTGAATAGAGAGGCTTGGGCATTATTGAAATAAAATCCTTGAGTAGAATCTTGGCAAATAAATGAGTAGTTCTCCGCGAAATCCATAACTATTATTCCAGTATC